AGCTTTTTTGGGGGAAAATCATTTCCCCATGTGGGAGAAGGAAACAGGAGATTTCTGACTGGATTTCTTCTCTGTGGACAAACAGAGGAGCTTTGTTTTGGATGGATGCCCCAAGATTCCTGCTCAACCCTACCTGTCCCACTGTCCCCCATAAATATTCCATTTCCCAGCCCATTGTCACTTCCACAGGGGTGGAGGAACCACTCCAGACCTTCCCACAGAGCCTTAAGCCCCCATCCAGGGTCAGACCTGGAGCCACAAATGACTTCTGGAGGGTTCCTTCCCACTGACTGGCTGAGCTCGTCACCGCGGCCAGGGCTGAGCTCAGATTGGTGGCCGCAGCCCTTGGGTTGGTGGCCACGCTCTCTGAGTTGGTGACCACAACCTTCCTTGAAGCTGGCAACCGCAACTTCTGGGCGCTGCTGGACGTCTCTCCTCCCCGAAGACCCTCCTTGTGGTGCTCTCCTGGCCACCCCACTGCCCACGTCCCACCAAAGCCAGGCTGATCCGAGTCCCCTGAGCTCACCCAGGCCCGTCCCCGCCGCTCCCCGAGGCGCCTCAGGGGCACAGCTTGATGTAGGTGACGGTGGAACAGACCGAGAAGAGGGGGAACACCTTCTCCTGGAAGGCCACGTTGAAGGTGAAGATGTGCTGCATGCTCTCGGCGTCGTAGAAGGAAACCTCCTCGCCCTCGTAGTCCAGGTAGACGCGGACGCGGCTCAGCTTGCGGCTGAGGCACAGCGGCGTGCGCTGCGGCGACGTCACGGCCCAGTAGCGGCCCCCGTTCTGCTGCACGGCCCAGATGCCCTCCTCGGGGGAGAACTGCGTCAGCCCCTTCCTGCGGACGGACTCCCTGGCCACGCCGAAGGCCCAGCCGTCCGAGGGCCCCACCTCCACCTCCCAGTAGTGCCGCCCCGACTTGAAGCCCGTGCTGGCCAAGACCCGCGAGTTGGTGTCGAAGCGCTTGGGGTTGTCGGGCAGCTCCTGCTTCCTGCAGCCCATGCGGACGCTCTTGAGGTCGGCCGAGAGGATCAGCAGGTGGTTGGCCGAGTCGGGGTCCAGGGTCAGGTCCTCTGTTGGGGACAGCGGTGACAGCGCTCAGGTCTGCGGCCAGGGTTTGAGCGAGGAAAAGCGCGACGCGGGGTGGGAGTCGCCGGTTCCTGGACCGGCCCGGATCTCAATAATCCCGGCCCAACCCCAGTAATCCCACCCCACACTGGACACCCCAAATCCCTCCAGGGGGGGTTTATCTCATGCTGCTCCTGGTGAGAAATGGGGTGACAACAGCACGAGGCCAGCGGGAGAAAGGAGCGCCATGAAAAAGCACATGCAGATAATCCGCGGTTGCCAATAGCAAAGATGGGCCTTAGGTCAAGAATGGTTTTCCCCACATAAATTGATTTTTTTGTCTTGGTTTCCAGCTCGTCCACACACAGGAGGGCTCCACACCCCCCTGGCATCACAAATTGCAGAGTTTTGATCCCCAAACCACCCCAAATCCTCGTGGGAAGCCGTGACCTAAGGGCATCTTTCCACCTGGAGCAGCCCAAACCAAACGTGCAATTCCAGCCTGGTCCCAACAGCTTTTTTTCCCCCCTTTCCCAACTCAGGCTGAGAGGAAGCAACGAGTGACCTCAAATTGTGGTTGTAGTCAGCAAAGTCACCACCAATCCATGAGACCCTTTGGGGGAGTCTAAATTGGGGCGTCTGGAGCTGAAACGCAGCAGGTGCCGCACCATGAAGGCCTTTGTGCTCTCCAAAATCCACAGATTCGGGTCAGGAACGGGCATAAAAATTTCCCAAAAGAGACACGGTGGGATTAAAAGCCTCAGAGCGCTTCGTAAAGGTGGGGAAAGCCATCATGGGGAAGGCTGGGATCATTAAAGCGCCAGGTTCCTCCCCAAAAGTGAGAGAGTGGCCAAAAACCAGCATTTCCTGCGTCTCCTGCACCAGAAACTGCAAATCCCGCCAGCAAAACTGCAGGGAATGGGGTGGAATGACCCAATTCCATCAATGCCAGTTTTTTTCTTTTTATCCACAGGGCGTTTTTCCTTCCTCGGGCATCTCCAGCTCCTGGAACCGTCAGGATTTGGGTCTGGGGTTCAACCACAAGGTCGTGGGACGGCACACACCTCTGCACATGCACCCACCCCCCTGGGCATGCAGCGAGGGGCCTTTGGCTTCCCAGCTTTGGCTTCTCCTTGTGCTCCCTGCCAGATTTTGGCACTTCCAGAGGCGTCTGGGGGTGCTGCTTGTCTGCAGAATCCTTGGAAAAGGTCCAACCCGTGGGTTGTCCTGCTTTGAGGTCCCCCGTGCGAGAGACCACAGCTTTAAAAGCAAAAAATAAGTTGTTTTTTTTTTTTTTCTTTTTTTTTTTTTTTTTTCCCTAAAAATTCTGCTCTGGGCACCAAGGGGGTGTGGATGGGGCAGGTTTTGATCTCAGGTTGAGGTCAGAGGGAGAGGGTTGATCCCAGAATTCCTGAAGAGCCCCTTCCCAGCATGGGAAATCGTCCTGGGCTGGGTTTGCCCCTCAAATTCACGACCTCTCCTGCGGGAAGGAGTTAAATTCTTAATCACCTTTAAAAATGAGTGGAATTCTGCTGGGATTTAATTTGAATTCTTAAATAACTGAAGGAATGAACCAAATTCTGCTGGGATTTAATTTGAATTCTTAAATAACTGAAGGAATGAACCAAATTCTGCTGGGATTTAATTTGAATTCTTAACTAATTTAAGGAATTAACCAAATTCTGCTGGGATTTAATTTGAATTCTTAAATAATTTAAGGAATTAACCAAATTCTGCTGGGATTTAATTTGAATTCTTAAATAACTGAAGGAATGAACCAAATTCTGCTGGGACATAATTTGAATTCTTAACTAATTTAAGGAATTAACCAAATTCTGCTGGGATTTAATTTGAATTCTTAAATAACTGAAGGAATTAACCAAATTCTGATGGGATATAATTTGAATTCTTAAATACCTTAAGGAATGAACCAAATTCTGCTGGGATTTAATTTGAATTCTTAACTAATTTAAGGAATTAACCAAATTCTGCTGGGATTTAATTTGAATTCTTAAATAACTGAAGGAATGAACCAAATTCTGCTGGGATTTAATTTGAATTCTTAAATAACTGAAGGAATGAACCAAATTCTGCCGGGATTTAATTTGAATTCTTAACTAATTTAAGGAATTAACCAAATTCTGCTGGGATTTAATTTGAATTCTTAAATAACTGAAGGAATTAACCAAATTCTGCTGGGATTTAATTTGAATTCTTAAATAATTTAAGGAATTAACCAAATTCTGCTGGGAATTAACCCCTCTGACTTCACGCTGGGGCGGAGGCCGGAGCTCACACCCTCCATCCCCATTCCCTGGTGGAAGCAGGAGCCCAGCAGAGCAAATTTGGCTAAGGAATTAACCAAATTCTGCTGGGAATTAACCCCTCTGACTTCACGCTGGGGCGGAGGCCGGAGCTCACACCCTCCATCCCCATTCCCTGGTGGAAGCAGGAGCCCAGCAGAGCAAATTTGGCAAATTGAGAGCCAGCTGTGGCTTTTTGGTCTGAAATCTGCGGGTTTAAGTGCAAACAGGCAGAGAGGACCTGGCTGAGCTGTCAGATCCCCGGCGTCAGTTAGAAAAATCGGCTTTGGGCTCTGGAGCTGAGCAGGCTGGATCTGGAAATCATCGAGAGAGAAGAAATTAAGGAGGAAAAAAAAAAAAAAAAGAAATCCAGAGTGCCTTTTTCCTTTTTTTTTTTTTTTTCCTTCCTTTTTGTCCCCCTCTCTTTGGCTTTGCAAAGTACAACCACAATTTTGGGTCTTTGCTCCGGGTGCTAAGTGTGAAATATCATCTTTTTTTTACCTTTTTCACCTCTTCCCAGCTCGTCCTGCAGGTGTTCTGGAAAGGAGAAAAGGCAGGGCCGTGAGTGGTGACACCCAGAGAGACAAAGCATCAGCAAGAGCTGAGGATGGAGCAGTGCAACAGGGGAGAATCCCTGTTAAATATATTTAATTTTAAATACAATTATTTCATTTTATATCATATATATCTGATTTTCATTCAATATATTTAATATATTTAATTTTAAATTAAAAACCCCTTTAAATATATTTAATTTTCATTAAAAACCCCCTTAAATATATTTAATTTTCATTAAAAACCACCTTCTTGGCATGAAATATATTTAAATATATTGATATATTTATATATAAATATATTTAATTTATATATTTAATATATATTTTATATATTTAATATATTTAAATAGATTTAATTTATTTATATTATAATTAAATATATTTAATTTTTATTGAATAGATTTAATTTTCATTAAAATATATTGAAATATATATTTAATATGTATATTTAATTTTCATTATCCTATATTTATTGAATATATATATATATATGTTAAATATATTTAGTTTTCATTAAAAACCCCTTTCTTGGCCTGAAGAAAACACAGGATTCATTTAAACCACAGTGATCATGCCCTCTCCCATCTCAGCCTGAGGAATTTCAAGCCTTGAGCACATCCTTTAAGCCAATTCTTGCCCCAGGGTGTAATTTCCATTTCGAAATTATTTGTTTTTTTTCTCTTCTAGACCCGCTCTTTTTGGCGCATTTTGCCTTTCCAGCTCTCTCAGCACCATCTCGTGCCTTCCTGCAAACCCGGGCCTTGGCTGTCTGGAAATTAAAGTTTTTATTGCACCAAAACCGATGCTCACATTCCGATTTCCCCCTCTTTTTTTAAAAAAAAACCACATTTCTTTCCCCAGAAATTTGCCTGGCTGAGTCTCTTCCTGCTCATGCCCATCTCCAGAATGAGAACAAGGATTTCCAGAACAATTTTCCCAGCTGAAAAAACCCTTTTTCCAGCTGAAAAAACACTTTTTTCTGCTCCACTTTGGTGCCCAGGAGCCCTCCAGCACCATCCCCTCTCTTCCTTCCCGGTGCCAGGAAAACCCAGGGATTATTTTTTAATTTTTTCCAGCCTTTTCCACCCACCCCGGAATTTCTTCAAGACCTTCTCGAGGACCACAGTTTTGAGGGAGAAGTTGCAGACGTGCATCTTCATGTCGGTGCAGACAGGGACGGGCTTCTGGCACTTCACGTCATCGCTCCTGCCGAGGGGAAAAAAAAACAGAAAAAACGACGAGGAAATCGTTAAAATTGCTGATTTCCCCTCATTTCCAGCTCCGTCTGCCGCCCGTGCTCCTCCAGCATCTCGCTGGGATTTCATCCTCCTTGGGGTGAGGAAATCGGGGTTTGGGCGTGGATTTTGAGGCTCCTCAGGGGTGATTTTTTGGGGTAAAAGCCCCTCCCCACCTCTGCAGTTTCGGAGCTGGCGGTGCCTGACCTGCGGTGGGGGAGCAAATCTGGGAATTTGGAGTTCCTGCTCTCGCTCGAGCCTGCAAGAAGCCCGCCGGCAGGGGAAAAGGGCGCCGTGAAAATCAGATTTCCAAGGAGCTGGAGGAGATCCGAGGCTCGCAGAGAGGAGGGGGAAGGAAAATTCCCCCCTCCCCGGGGCTGGGCACACTGAGCTGCAGGCGGGGAGAGCAGAATTCCAGAATTCCGTACCTGCTGATGACGCCCGCCACATCCTGGAAGGGAAAAAGAGAGGCTGAGTGAAACCCGCTGTGCTCTGCGACCCCCCCAGAGCAATTCCTGCTCGTCAAACCCGGCCGGGTTTTGGATCCCTGGATGGTGGGAGCAGCCCCAGGTGCGGATTCAGTCCCAGGTGTGGATTCACGTCCCAGGTGTGGATTCAGTCCCAGGTGCGGATTCAGCCCCAGGTGTGGATTCACGTCCCAGGTGTGGATTCAGCCCCAGGTGCGGATTCACACCCCAGGTGCGGATTCAGCCCCAGGAGTGGATTCACACCCCAGGTGTGGATTCAGCCCCAGGTGTGGATTCAGCCCCAGGTGTGGATTCGCGTCCCAGGTGTGGATTCAGCCCCAGGTGAGGATTCAGCCCCAGGTGTGGATTCAGCCCCAGGTGAGGATTCAGCCCCAGGTGTGGATTCAGCCCCAGGTGTGGATTCACACCCCAGGTGTGGATTCACGCTGCAGGTGTGGATTCAGCCCCAGATGCGGATTCACGCCCAGGTGTGGATTCAGCCCCAGGTGCGGATCCCAGCTCTGGGGGGGGACACCTGCCACACACCTGGGCAGCTCTGTGTCCCCTGGACTCCCACACCTCATCACCCCCAGGAAAAGCCCGGGGGTGCCTCTCGTGCCGGGGACGGACAGGGAAGTGATTTTCCCTCCTGGGGCGGACAGGGAAGTGATTTTCCCTCCGTCAGGGCTGGATTGTGGAGGTGATTTAAGGTTCAAATGCGCTCAATGAAGTTGCAACACGCTCAATAAAGTTGAGCAACACCGACAGCAGAACTGAGCCACTGTTTGCCTGTTCTGGTGCCCTCAAAACACATTCCAGAGCCCACACAAAGGCAGAGTCACCTCCCGGGGGGCTGGAAAAGGACCCTGGAGCCAGCCCAGCCTTCCCAAGCTGCTTTTTTAATAAAATGCCAATTGTTGTTCTGGCGTGTTTTACGTAGGCACCAGCACGGAGAGCACGTGGGGTGAATTTCCACCCACGGCCAAGTCCTGAAACCGTCTGCAAATATTGACAGGGCCCAGAAGGCAGGCTGGGAGGGAATTTAACCCTGTGCAGGTCTGGGGGAGCCAGATCTGAATCCAATAAAAACGAGCTCCACTCAAAGGTCACCTCCTGCCATGCAGGGTGGGGAAAGGAGCTGTGGAAAAGGATTTTGGGCACCCCTGGGTTGTTTTCCCACCTCAAAAGCAGAGTTTGGTCTAGCTCAGCTCTGAACACCTTGAAACCAAGGGCTTGGGGGGTGCTAGAAAAGCCCAAACAAGTTCATGGAGGGGAAAAAAAATTCGTTAAAATTGAAAAGAACATTCTGTTCCAGGGTGTTCCTCAGCTTGGGGCACTCAGACACCTCCTTGCACCATCCACTCGTTAAAGGCAGAATAAAAAAAGGACTTTTACCCCCAAAACACCTGCACAGGATCCACGAGCACTTGGAAAAAGGAGGAATAAGGGACCTGAGGCCTCACCTTGAGGAACTCCAGCATGGGCTGCTGGATTTTCTCCTCCAGCTCGGCGATGAGCTTGTTGAGGAGCGTGATCTCCTTGGAGAGGTCGGTGATGTTCTCGTTCTGCCTCCTGGCGATGTTCTTCTCCATCTTGTCCAGCTGCCCCAGCAGGATGTGCTCCTGGTCGTGCAGGAACTGCCGCAGCCGCTCGAAGTCCGACAGCAGCTTCTGCCGCTCGCTCTCGATGGTTTTCTGGGGCAGAAACACGGAAAAAAAGGGGTTTTCGGGGCGGACAGGGAAGTGATTTTCCCTCCGTCAGGGCTGGATTGTGGAGGTGATTTAAGGTTCAAATGCGCTCAATGAAGTTGCAACACGCTCAATAAAGTTGAGCAACACCGACAGCAGAACTGAGCCACTGTTTGCCTGTTCTGGTGCCCTCAAAACACATTCCAGAGCCCACACAAAGGCAGAGTCACCTCCCAGGGGGCTGGAAAAGGACCCTGGAGCCAGCCCAGCCTTCCCAAGCTGCTTTTTAAATAAAATGCCAATTGTTGTTCTGGCGTGTTTTACGTAGGCACCAGCACGGAGAGCACGTGGGGTGAATTTCCACCCACGGCCAAGTCCTGAAACCGTCTGCAAATATTGACAGGGCCCAGAAGGCAGGCTGGGAGGGAATTTAACCCTGTGCAGGTCTGGGGGAGCCAGATCTGAATCCAATAAAAACGAGCTCCACTCAAAGGTCACCTCCTGCCATGCAGGGTGGGGAAAGGAGCTGTGGAAAAGGATTTTGGGCACCCCTGGGTTGTTTTCCCACCTCAAAAGCAGAGTTTGGTCTAGCTCAGCTCTGAACACCTTGAAACCAAGGGCTTGGGGGGTGCTAGAAAAGCCCAAACAAGTTCATGGAGGGGAAAAAAAATTCGTTAAAATTGAAAAGAACATTCTGTTCCAGGGTGTTCCTCAGCTTGGGGCGCTCAGACACCTCCTTGCACCATCCACTCGTTAAAGGCAGAATAAAAAAAGGACTTTTACCCCCAAAACACCTGCACAGGATCCACGAGCACTTGGAAAAAGGAGGAATAAGGGACCTGAGGCCTCACCTTGAGGAACTCCAGCATGGGCTGCTGGATTTTCTCCTCCAGCTCGGCGATGAGCTTGTTGAGGAGCGTGATCTCCTTGGAGAGGTCGGTGATGTTCTCGTTCTGCCTCCTGGCGATGTTCTTCTCCATCTTGTCCAGCTGCCCCAGCAGGATGTGCTCCTGGTCGTGCAGGAACTGCCGCAGCCGCTCGAAGTCCGACAGCAGCTTCTGCCGCTCGCTCTCGATGGTTTTCTGGGGCAGAAACACGGAAAAAAAGGGGTTTTCAGGGAGAGACAGGCCTGGCGGCGCCGCTGGAGCTCCAGCCTGGAAAGAGACTGGGGGTTTTCCTTTGGGGAGGGGTGAGGAATCACAGGGGGCAGAATTCCCAGGACAAAAACCTTGGGAAGCAGCAGGGGTGGGACAGAAATCCCCGCCAGGATCTCTCAAAACCACTTGTTTTGGGGAGGATGATCCCAGAGGAGTTATTTTCAGTGGGATGGGTTTTGGTTTTTTTTTTCCCTTCTGCTGCCACAGGGATGACGTGCTGAGGAAAAGGAAGGGTGGAGCAGAGCCCCGGAGCCTGTCTGGCTCTCAGATGCTCCAGCACCATCCTTGAGGTCTTGGCTGGTGGTGGTGGGGCCAGGAGGAAGGAGGAAACCTCGCCCTCCCCTTTTTCGGACGCTGGGATCCTCACCCCGCTCCACCAGCCCACCCCAGGACGCACCAGCAGCTCCTGGGTTTTCTTATCGTCGTTCACTTTGAACTCCAGCAGTTCCTGCCGCTCCTTCCGCAGGAAATCCAGGCGCCCCTGGATCTTCTCCTGCCGGCAAAAGAAGAGTTTGTTGTCGATTTCTCTCCTCCTGCCCGCAGGGTTTGCCCTTTGGCGGGCGGGATGGGGAGGGAGGAAAAACACGGGATGCGCCGGCCGGGAAATCCCTCTGGACCACCAGAACCCCAAAAAAATGAAAAAAAAAACCCACCCCACGAACGGAGGGAGCCGGGGACGGGAGGAGCCCTGTTCCCACCGGCTCCCGGAAAAGGTCAGCCCGGCTTTAATTAACCTCGCTCATTTCTGGGCGCTCTCCCAGCGCCCAGAGTTTGTCTCCCTCAGCCGCTCCCCTCCCGGCGAGGTGAATCCGCCCCAAAAAACCAGAGAAACGCAGGAGAGGGAGGGAGGACAGCCCTTCCCCCTTTTATTTTTCTCCTTTTACTCTTTTTTCTCATTTTCCTCCTTTTCCTCCTTTTTTTCCTTTTTCTCCTTTTCCTCCTTTTTCTCCTTTTTTTCCTTTTTTTTCCCTTTTTCTCCTTTATTTCTTCTTTTCCTCCTTTTCCTCCTTTTCCCCCTTTTTCTCCTTTTTTTCCTTTTTTCCCTTTTTCTCCTTTATTTCTTCTTTTCATCCTTTTCCTTCTTTTTCCCCCTTTTTCCCCTTTTCCTCCTTTTCCTCCTTTTTCCCCCCTTCTCCAGGCAATGCACCCCCCAAGGATCTCACACCCCACTCCCCCTCTTGCTGCTCCACCGACCCTCCGCCCCTTCCAACAACGCGCACTCATCCCGGGAAAACCCCTCCGCGACGCGGGCGGGGAAGACGGGCGGGCGGACGGACGGACGGACGCGCCTTGTACTCCTCGGCAGCCTCGTCCACGGGCACCACGGCGTGCGGGCGGTGCTCGCGGGAGCGGTCGCACACCACGCAGATGCTCCGGCGGTCGTCCTTGCAGTAGAGCTTGAGCGCCTCGCGGTGCTTGGCGCACAGCGCGTCCTCCGCGGCCGCCCGGGCCCCGCGCAGCGCCAACTGCCCGATGATCTCGGACATGTTGGCCAGCTGCCGGTTGGGGCGAAAGCTCTGCTGCTGGAAAACCTCCCGGCACTGCGGGCACGGGAAGTCGGCGTGCAGCTCCCTCCAGCTCTTGGCGATGCACGCCCGGCAGAAGTTGTGGCCGCACTCGATGGACACCGGGTCCTTGAAGAACTCCAGGCACACGGAGCAGGTGGCCTCGTCCTGCAGGCTGCCGGGCAGGAACGCGGCGGCCATGGCCTCTCTCCTGCGGCGGGGAAGGCTTTCGGGAGGGGAGAAGGGGCAGTGCCCGGGGCGGTGCTCGGCGCGCAGCGCGGCCCCGCGGTCACTCCGGCCGGACCGGGCACAGGATTTTCTGCCCGCAAATCCTGAGCTTACCCTGCCTGGTTTTGGTTTGGGTTTTGTTTGTATTTATTTATTTTTTTCATATTTTAATATATTTTTATATATTTCTATTTTTAAAATATGTATATATATTTATATGTATTCATATATAAAAATATAAATATATTTTATATTTATATATATAAATATATTTTATATTTATATATATTTTTTATATATAATATGAATATATTTTAATATTTTTATATATTTATACAATATTTTATTTTTAAAACTATTACAATTATATATTTATATAATGATGTATATAATATATTTTATGTATTTAGATATATTTATATATATATTTTCATATAATATAAATATATTTTATATTCTATATATTTATATTTATTCATATCTTTTATATATTTGTATTATATTTTATTTTAGAAAATATTATATTTTATATATTTATATATTTTATTTTTGAATATTATATTTTATATATTTACATAATAATTTATATTATCTATTTTATATATTTATATACTTTTATATATTTATATATACTGACACCACTCCCTATGCAAGGACAATTCACTCTCCTCCCTCCCCTTTCCTTCCACCCATAAATAACCCCCAGCCCCTTTTTCCCCCCATCCCTCACCTTTCCGCCTGAGATCCGCAGGTACCGCCGCACCCCAACCGCAGGGATGCTCACGGAGCCGGGGAAGAGCGAGACCCCCGAGGAGGCGAGGTGACAGCCAGGAGGGGACAGCGCGACAATCGCCCCCCGAGACCCCCCGTACCTCTCAGCGGAGCCGCCCGCCGGCCGCGTCCCCCCGAAAGGCCCCGACCGGCCGGGATTTGGCGCGGGGCCGGCTCTGGACGGGCCGAGCTGCCGGCTGCCCGCGGGGTCCCAGCGGCACCGGGGCCGGCGGAGGAACCCGGCGGCGGCCGCGGCCGCCTCGGACATCGCGGCGGGGCTCGGGCTGCGGCTCCCCGCCGCCGCATCTGTCCCCTGTGTCGCCGCCAGCGCCTCCAGTGTCACTTACCATTCTTTGCCCTCCCCCATTTGGGCACCAGCGGGGTCTTTCCCTCCTCTTCCTCCCCCTCCTCCTCCTCCTCCTCCCCGGGCTCTGCCGCTCTCCTCCGTGCCAAAGTTCTTTTCCCTGCCCAGCGCCCGGATCGCGTTTCCATCGCCTCCCTCCACCTGTCCCCGAGCCCCGGGGTCTCGGCAGCCTTTAACCCTTTCCAGGGGCTTCATCACGGGGTCTCGGCAGCCTTTAACCCTTTCCAGGAGCTTCCTGCGGGGTCTCGGCAGCCTTTAACCCTTTCCAGGAGCTTCCTCCCGGGGTCTCGGCAGCTTTTAACCCTTTCCAGGGGCTTCATCCCGGGGTCTCGGCAGCCTTTAACCCTTTCCAGGAGCTTCCTCCGGGGTCTCGGCAGCCTTTAACCCTTTCCAGGAGCTTCATCCCTCTCCCCAAAGGGTGGGAAAATTGTTAATCTCGCTGCTCATATTTGGGGGGAAAGGGCAGGAGGGTCTCCTGTGGGGCACCTCCCGCCTGCCTGATCAGGTAAGAAGAGCTTGGGGCGCCCAAACCGACGGGAAGAGGGGGGAAATAAAGGGGGGGAAAAAAAGGAAAAATAAAAAGGAAAAGGCAACGTGAGTCCCTGCCAGGTAAACACCTGTTGCCTATAAATACAGAGATTGATTCATGTCCACTGGATACACGCATCCTCTATTTCCCCTGGCTCCCAGCAGCTCCCTCCCAAAAATTCCCATCCTCTCCCAAAATTCCCAGCCCTGCCCTGGGGGGAAAAGGAGGAAAACCCGGGATGCCGCCAGGAGGAAGCTCCTTGTCCCGTCCTTGGGGTTTGGGTGTCGGGATCGTGTTCGGGGCCGCCAGCTGCTCGCAGAGCCGCAGGAATGCTGAGCCCGGAGAGCTGGGAAGAGGAGGCAGGGAAACAGCGACGCCAGCCAGACCCAGCGCCGAGCCTGAGGGTTTATTTTAGAGCCGAGACTAAATCAGGAGCCCAGCTGCGGGCGCCGAGCGCTCGGGAATCCTCCGGGGAGCGCGGCTCAGTCCGTGGGCTCCTCGCCCCACTCCTCGTTGCAGAGGTCGGTCTCGCAGCACGAGTAGCGGGAGCTCAGGCGGGACTCGGCGTCCGACGCCCGCTCCCGGCCGCAGTTGAGGGCGGAGGTGCAGCCCTGCTGGTAGTAAAGGGTCATCTTACCTGCAGGGCAGAGGGGAGCGACGGAAAAAATCAGGTTTTGGGCTCCGAGGAGAAGCCCGGCTCTGAAATATAACCCGCCAAATCAAGTCACAGCTTGGTTTAATTAGGAGAAAAAGAAAATCAGGCGGTGCACGCACTGAGACAACCCCTGCCCCCCTGGTTATTTGGAAGGGAGAGTCTCCCCTTGGCTTAAAAACGACTTTTTGAAGCTTTTTTGGGGACAGCCGCCATGGCGAGGGTGAACTCAACCCCTCCCAGCTGGCGCTTCATCTCCTCATCCTCACCCATCCACGGGAGCGAGTTGGTTTTCCAGGGATGGGGAGAATTTCCCTGCAGGGGAAGAGAGGGTGGGAATGCCAAGGAGAGCCCGAAAGGAGGGAAGGAGAGGATGGGAAAGCCAAGGAGAGGATGGGGATGCCAAGGAGAGGATGGGAATGCCAAGGAGAGGATGGGAATGCCAAGGAGAGGCTGAAAGGAGGGAAGGAAAGGATGGGAATGCCAAGGAGAGGATGGGGATGCCAAGGAGAGCCCAAAAGGAGGGAAGGAGAGGATGGGAATGCCAAGGAGAGCCCAAAAGGAGGGAGGGAAACAATGGGAATGCCAAGGAGAGGATGGGAAAGCCAAGGAGAGGCCAAAAGGAGGGAAGGAAGGATGGGAATGCCAAGGAGAGGATGGGGATGCCAAGGAGAGGATGGGGATGCCAAGGAGAGGATGGGAATGCCAAGGAGAGGATGGGGATGCCAAGGAGAGCCCAAAAGGAGGGAAGGAGAGGATGGGAATGCCAAGGAGAGCCCAAAAGGAGGGAGGGAAACAATGGGAATGCCAAGGAGAGGATGGGAAAGCCAAGGAGAGGCCAAAAGGAGGGAAGGAAGGATGGGAATGCCAAGGAGAGGATGGGGATGCCAAGGAGAGGATGGGGATGCCAAGGAGAGGATGGGAATGCCAAGGAGAGGATGGGAATGCCACGGAGGGCCCGAAAGGAGGAAAAGAGAGGATGGGAATGCCAAGGAGAGGATGGGGATGCTAAGGAGGGCCCGAAAGGAGGGAAGGAGAGGATGGGAATGCCAAGGAGAGGCCAAAAGGAGGGAAAGGATGGAAATGCCAAGGAGAGCCCGAAAGGAGGGAAGGAGGGGATGGGAATGCCAAGGAGAGCCCAAAAGGAGGGAAAGGATGGGAATGCCACGGAGGAACACACCCAGGCTGCTTTTGATGAGGGCACACTTCTCCCGGCGCTCGCAGGTGGTGACGTTGGCGCCCCGGAGGCAGCCCACCAAGGGCACCTTGTACTTGCAGAGGTGGCACCGGAGGGTCTGGGCTGCTCGGAGGGGGAAAACCGGGATGAGCTCTGGGAAGAGGCGGGCGGAATCCCGCTTCCAGGCGGTTAAATGTGGCTTGTTCCCCGCTCACCCACGCCGACGCACAGCAGGAGGCTCAGCCCCAGCAGGAGCAGCTTCATCGCGGGGCCGGTCCTGGTTTGCATCGGCTCCCTGGAAGGGGAAGGGCTCGGGAATTCTGCTCTGGGATGAGTTCTGTTCCCTGGAATGAGAATGGGTCAGGCATTCTGCTCCGGGATGAGAAGGGCTCGGGAATTCTGCTCTGGGATGAGAACGGCTCGGGAATTCTGCTCTGGGATGAGAAGGGCTCGGGAATTCTGCTCTGGAATGAGTTTTGTTCCCTGGAATGAGAAGGGCTCAGGAATTCTGCTCCGGGATGAGAATGACTTGGGAATTCTGCTCTGGGATGAGTTTTGTTCCCTGGAATGAGAATGGGTCAGGCATTCTGCTATGGGATGAGAACGGCTCGGGAATTCTGCTCTGGAATGAGTTCTGCTTCCTGGAATGAGAATGGCTCAGGAATTCTGCTCTGGGATGAGAACAGCTCGGGAATTCTGCTGTGGGATGAGTTCTGTTCCCTGGAATGAGAATGGGTCAGGCATTCTGCTCTGGGATGAGAACGGCTCAGGAATTCTGCTCTGGGATGAGAAGGGCTCGGGAATTCTGCTCCGGGATGAGAAGGGCTCGGGAATTCTGCTCTGGGATGAGAAGGGCCCAGGAATTCTGCTCTGGGATGAGTTTTGTTCCCTGGAATGAGAATGGGTCAGGCAGTCTGCTCTGGGATGAGAACGGCTCAGGAATTCTGCTCTGGGATGAGGAGGGCCCAGGAATTCTGCTCTGGGATGAGTTCTGCTCCCTAGAATTCTGCTCTGGGATGAGTTTCGGCTCAGGAATTCTGCTCTGGGACAAGAAGGACTCAGGAATTCTGCTCTGGGATGAGGAGGGCCCAGGAATTCTGCTCTGGGATGAGTTCTGCTCCCTAGAATTCTGCTCTGGGATGAGTTTCGGCTCAGGAATTCTGCTCTGGGACAAGAAGGACTCAGGAATTCTGCTCTGGGATGAGGAGGGCCCAGGAATTCTGCTCTGGGATGAGTTCTGCTCCCTAGAATTCTGCTCTGGGATGAGTTTCGGCTCAGGAATTCTGCTCTGGGACAAGA